ATCGGCAACACTGAGCTCCAAGAGGTTAAAGTTGTAATGGAACTGAACGAGACCAAAGCAAGTACCAGAATTATTGAAAGGCTCTAGATCTAAATATAGCTTGTCCTGAAGATACTTCCGACCATTTAACCTGTCCAAGCAGATCTATAAAGCTGGACAGAATCAAAGCCAGGTGCTTTTATCAGAATAACTAGAAGAGAAATGTTTATCACTGTGACCCTGAGAGCTGTCTCACCTTACCAGTGAGCAAAGCATTTAGCAGTTTGTAAAGTCTTTATCTTAGAAAAATTAGGATCTTCCATGTGATTTCCACACATTTCCAGAGATGGGCTGTTCCATCCTGACCTGAAAGGAGTGACATTCACATCAGAATAAACAGCAATTAGAAATGACGTAGATGACATGACATTTCACAGGCAGCAGCAAACACTTTTGGTGGCCACGCAGACTAATCCCATGCACTTGCTTCCTACGGATGCTCCACGAGCTGCCTCGCTGCTTTAGTCACTAGGAATAAATATCTTTTAGGAACTCTGGTTATTTGGAAGGACAGTTCTGGGAACTGATGCTACAGCATGCACTAGAGGAATAATGCAGCATTAAAAAAGAGAACTTGCAAATGCAAAAGGACAAAATCCTTCAGACAACAGATGCTGCAGGAACATAACCAACAAAGACCTAAAATGAGGCTACTGCTTCCTTTAATCAGGAAAAGAAACCTATGGATAGGCAACTGCTGCATATTTAAATCATACTTAAATACTCAAATAACATAGCAAACAACTCTAAAGCAGGACCATAAATTATATTTGTCATTTGCAGTCTTCTAAAGACGATACCAGTTCCTCCTAACTCCCAGTGTAGCAAGCTAATTGTTATGTTTGATTTAATCAAAAAATAAACTTTTTAAATGAGTGCTTAAATGCAGCCTAAGTGCACCACCTCTATGATAGCCTAAACCAAAAGCCTCATCGTAGTATGGCTTCATATTTGTAAAACAGGTTTCAGTTTGATGCAGACATATATATATCCATATTTCATTGTCTAGGAGCACTAAGTTGAGACACTTACGACTGTGGAAACATTAGGTATGGGCAAAGCAAAAAATAATTATATACCTGTATAGCCTAGATTCGGACTTTACGGTTGAAAACTCATGCTGAAATCACAAGAGAAATAAAATCCTCTGCTGTAATCCCCTTTTTTCCCCTTAGATGTAGAGATCTCTGGTTCTGGACCGTCCTCCGCGTCTCGGCATCGTGTGGGCTCCAGGCACGTGCGATTTGCTGTGGGGAGAGCGGGACCGGAGAACGGCTGCCGGGAGGGCGGCCCGCGGGAGCGGAGGGGCCGCGCAGAGGCCCGAGGGCTGCGGAGCAGCGTCGCTGCCCGGCTCCAGCGGGCACGGACACGGGAGGAGAGGGGAAAGCGCATCCTGCGGGGGACCCGCGGGACCGTCCGTCCGTGCAGCCCTGCAGGGCCGGGGCAGATGGCAGGGATTTGCAGCCGTTTTTAAAAATAAGAGGTGGAAGAGGAGCGATGTGATTACAGCTGCACACACATTCCTAAGCCTGCTCGCACAAGGAGAAAGAAAGGAAAAAAGTAATTCAAATGTAGAAACCAAAATTGGAATATTTTTTTCCTCGTCATATAAAGAAACTTTCAGAAGCTTCCTATCACAAATAGCAGCACTAAGTTTCTTCTCCAATCTTTTGTTTTCTGTTTAAGTGCCTGTGAAATAAAACTGACAACAGAAAAATAACCTACGCTGAGACAGTAAAAAAGCAATGCCAAAATTACTGTTAGTACCGCTGTGTAGCACACACATTTTTAATGTAAACCTTACAATATAAAAGCACAATCACATTCCAATGCCAAGTAAACTCCGTAAATAACGTTATCCTTTTGGATTTTCTAACTTTCAAAGGCTTTTTCTGCTTTTTATTCAGATGTTACTTAGCAGATGACTAGAATAAGCAGTATAACAGTAATATCACAGCATTAAATAGGGGGTCTACTCTAGATTTCACAGCCAGGGGAAGGCACGGAAAGGCCTAGACTTGCCCCAAGGGGATATGAAGCACTTACTATGTAAATATAGTAAAACCTGAAAATTTTTGAAATAAGCAATAACTATTTTTTTTTGAAAAAAATTCATAAAGAAACCTCTCCCTCATTTAAGAGACTATTCTTACGCCCATCCCTTACACAACCATTTAGCTGATGTTAGCTAAATACGCTGTAGATGAGCAGCTTTTCCAGCAAGGGCACCTGGAGAACCCCGTGAAGGTGTTTCTTGGCTAGTTTGGCTACCTTAGCTTTCAGTATTAACCCTTTCCCCCTTAACCTCCTTGCAGATGTACACGAACAGAAGTACTGCCCGCACCAAAAGCAGCACCTTTTGGCCACATCTCCTGCGCTTCCCGGAGTAACCCTTTCCACGTTTCATCTGCTCGCTTTCGCCAGAGCACCAAAGGCAACTCTTCCGGCTGGGCTTCCTTTTCACCGCTTTCTTAACAACCATCTCATTTTCCGAAGACACGAGCTGAGACGCAGAGCAGGAAGAACGTGACCCAGCAGCTGCCCCCGAGCTCTTGGTCACTGCCGTCTCCCAAGGAGCTGGCGCGGCTCTGGCCCAGCGGGGCTGGGAAGGAGGGGGCGGGCGTCTCCTCACGCGCTGCCCTCCCGCGCCGCTGCGCTGCGCCCGCTCCAGTAACAGCGAGCGGGGAAGTGCGGGAGCTGCCTGGCACACACAGAAACTCAACATCTGAAGACGTTTAAATTAATTTTATTTATATTAGGTTTTCAAAACCAGAAATACTTTAAAAGAAATTCAGTACTTGAGGACAGGTGCTACACTGATGATTCATCCATCATTAGTGCCACGTGTTCGCTCTACAGTCATTAACTCTTCACCACAAACTCAAGGGATCTTTCAGAATTACAAGGAAAAATGTAGACATGCAAATTTGGTTCCTGCAGGAATTGGTGTAAGGGAGTATAGCTCATGACCAAAGCGTGGCAACTCCATCCCTGTGTTATTCCCTCGCTCGTGCAGAGCGAGTTTTACAGCAGGGAAAGACTCCTCCACTTAAAGAAACCGAATCTTTGGGTTTTAACCGAACCTACTCAAAATCTGTTTAATGATCCAACTAAGAATGACTCTTTACGCTGCTATCCTTGTATTAAGCTTTGCATTTCCAAAATTGCCACAAGCCTAAACCTCCCTAACTCCCCCTAATCTTGGGCTAAGATCCCTTTTCAGAGAAATCCTGCCCGAATGGCTGCGCCTCTTTCAGAATTCACTGAATCAAGGAAACTGCTGGCTTCGCAATATCTGTAGAAGAAAAATGCCATTTCTGCACAAGCTACTCTCGTGAAAAAATTTATTTAACATTTCTTTTCAATAAAGTTAACTGAAGCCAAAATACCCAAATGTCACATCTACACGAAGATACACAGAAGATACTCAACTTGAGAGGATTTTCCTCCACTTGTAGATCACAATGAGGCCCTCACCACTTTGCATAATGACAGAAAACAACAGCTGACAAACCATTTTGGAACAGATGCCAGCTGTCTCGCATTTCTTTTATAATTCAAACAGTAACAGTTCTGTAGCACTTTATTTTCTTTTTTTAAAAGCAACCCATGTGAATTGGACCTCACATCAGTCATTTCAAGAACAAACTAAAGGCAGGATGATCCTTTTTGATCCAAAATTTGTTTTAGTAGACACTCAGACTCTTACATAAATATAATTTGTGCTTTGATTTCAGAACTACTCAGACTGAGTGAATATACATCTAAGCTAGCCTAAAAGAGAAAAGTAACCTTCTAATACTCAACTTAGAAGCCACAGATATTTTCCCAGACTGCTTGCAGCAGAGACAAACATTAAGTTTAAACACAGTTAAGCAGCTAAATACTGCTTAAAAAAAGTTGACTGTCTAAAATAAGGGTTAAACTGTTTATTAAAATTTAACACTTTCAGTTTTGGCTTTTTCTAAGGAAACCATGTATATCTTGTGAAAATTAGTTAAAAGATTAACATTATACTGCATTGAACTCAAGTCAAACATTAAGCACATAGGAGATCTTTACATTAAACTGGGCTTCGCACACAATGTGAATAGTCAGAAATAAAAGAGACTATTTTGAGGAAGAACTATCGTTATTATTATTATAGACAACATGCATACCATCAGTTACTTCTCAACCTTAATGAAACATACCTGAAAGGAGAGTTTTGTAGAACAAAACCAAGACTCATTAACACATTTAGTAAGTCAGTGGTCGTCATGCCTTTTTAGTTAAATTCTAGCAAAGTTTAGTCTACAGAGAACAGCTAACATAATAAGGTGTGTAAGTCCTACGGATAGCCAGAAGCCTGAAAAAGTCTTAAAGTTCTACAGGACAAGAGAGCCTAAACACAGCATTACTAGGTTAATGAAGGAGAAAGCAAGGAAAAAAAAATTCTGATGCTTTTCTCCTTCCTTGTTGGAATTTTTTAAAAAAAAAGGGTTATGGGCTGAAAATGAAGGGTCAATATTTAAAAGCTCCACAGTTCGACTCTCCCAGCTCTTTAAAATAAGGCAATGATGAAAGGCGCTGCTGGCGGCTGCGCTGGCCGCCGCGCAGGGCTCCGCGGCGCATACCAGCAGAATCATGTCCAGTTTTGCCATTTGTGGATAACGATGACAAGATACAAAAGCATGTGTTTGCCATAAATAGCTCTGGCTAACGGAGGATTGCTCACACAGAGCAGATCAAATTCTCTATAAGGAGAGCATTGCTTGGCTCCCGGCCAAAACATGTCCCCAATGCAAGCCTCAGTAGTGGCAAACGCTTTCCAGTTCTATTTACACAGAAGTTAACAAGTAGAACAATTCGTTTAGGACAGTTCTTGCACCGAGTCGCTCTTAACTGTAACATTTAAGAAACAAAAAGCATTTGCTGATTCGTACTCTGCCCATCATGTGACTTACCAAAAGACAGACAGCTGTAAGATTGCATTAAGGGTTTGACTCTGGCATGTAGAACTTTAAGAACATTCAGGTACGAAACACACTGCACGGTTCATTACTCGGTATTTTTAAGCTTCTGACACAAGTGTTTCATGGTTCATGGAACTAATGGTCTCTAGGAGTGGTAGCTTCTTTAGTCAAATGGTAAACTAGGAATAGGTCCTTCATCCAGTGATCAGAATAGAGCCACACAGAGTATTGTAAAGCAGTACCTAAACCATGACGAGGAATGAAAAACTTGCATTATTTAAGATGAGATTAATGACTGTTTATCTTTACAATACTTTCCACAGAAGTTAACTTATTTGAAATATGCTTAAATTAAACATACTTAAAAACTATTATTTTCCAATGAAAACAAGGCAACGTTCTGTAATAAGCCACAAGTTTTATTGCAACGTGGCCAGTTTTTGATCTCAAAAAACAACGTTCCATTTAAGGCTCTTTTTAATACAGAAATTGCCATAATGACTGATGTTTTACAGAACTTTAGTGTTTCAAGACTCACATGGTAAACAGATAACCTTTACTCCTGTTCAGTAGTGTACATTCAATGGAAAACAAAAGGCATCGTAACAGCTACTTCATTTATAAAGATATGCATGTAACAGGAATGAGGTACTACGATAATTTGATGACACAGTTACAGCAACTTAATTGGCATTCCTCTGGGGGGCGGGGAGGGGAGTCAAACATATTACAAAAAAAGTGCTTTAAATGCATAGTGTTGTGTGCTGCCATGTCACAAAAATAGGCTTGTCAAGGCAGGTGAGGTGTATGAATGCACAAGAGCCTCATGGAACTGCAATCAAGTGCAACTGTAAGTAATACTGTAGAGAGTCTACCATCCGACCAGTGGCCAACACTTCCAAGGCATTCGCTTAGCTTACCCTCTGCTGTCTGCTAGACTATTCACATTAACTATCACATTCATTGTACATGTTGCAAGGAATGCATGCAACGTCAGTTTTGGCTAAGAGTATGACGTGAAAGCATTCCTTGGATCCTACATAAAACTACCAGGATTAAACAGTCTAATGGCAATCACTGGTAGGCTGCTTAACAATGACATCTCCTTCAGGGGTGCGGGGAAAGGACTTATTTGTTCAAGGAGGGAAGGGGAAAGGGAGGCTAATACTATTCCAATTGAACGAGCTGCAGAAATGGAAGCTCCTTAGATCCAGATGGCACTTGTCTGTCTTTTTATAAGGGTTTTCCTTCAAGTGAAACTACCACGTTGCCTCCCAATTTTTCTCCAAGTGTTGAACGGTCCTTAATATCATCCAACCCATTTACTTGCCACTCGTGTTTAATACCTGAAAGACAGATGGACAAGGACACATCTGTGAGAACCTCCCCGTCTGGAGGGCATGACATCTAACGAGGAAAACTTCTTATGCCCATACCTGTAAATTTCTTTTTAATGGCATCTTTAGAGCTTGCGTAGATCATCTTGCTTTTTAAAGGTGCACTTTCAGGAGCCCTTTAAAGTACGAAAGAAAAAAGAAAAGTTATTCAATCATTCAATGTTAAGGGAAGAGTCAAGAAATTTCATCTTTAACGGCAAGCTTTGATTTTACACACCAGAATATAAATACCAGGTCTTCTTTCTTAGACTCCTTTGTCTCATATGTGGCATCGTACAAAGCGTATCGGCAATCATTCAGAGGTAATAACTTCACGAAGGCTGTATAGGGGTCCTCCACCGTATCTCCAATGTCACCAACCAAAATCTGCTTCGCCTCCTCTACAATTATTTGTTTTTTGTCATCGCTTAAGCAGAAGAGAACTGCTTTCTTTCTTTTTTTAATCTCTTCTGGGGTTGAGGATTTCCTTACTTTCATGTCATTAAAAACCTTTATGACTTCATCATGCACTGTTACTCCAGAAGCCTGTAAAATGAGATCAAAGGAGTAATTTGAGCAGCAAAAATTAACGCTCGCTAGACAAGAAGGCAGCCCGCCGTGCTGGATGGAGCAGCCTCCTGCCCCAGCAGGAACACCACCACGGTGCTCAACGTGGGCGCACAGTGAATTGCGCGGGGCTGCGCAAAGTTCATCCCTCCCTCCCTCGTTTCAGGCCTCGGCACCGTGGCTGCGATTCCGGATGGCGGTTGGTACCCCCGGGCACGCGACGGCACCGCTCGAGCGCCTCTCCGTTACCCGGCCGCGGACGGGGCTCATCCGGGGAGAGCCCCGGAGCGAGGGCTGGGCGCCGCGGGGGCGGCGCGGCTCGCGGCTGCGGTCGCGGCGGCACAAG